ATTCTATTATCCTATTTATTATCTATTATCAATTCTATTATCCTATTTATTATCTATTATCTATTCTACAAAGTCTATTTTATAAATTTCTATAGATTCCTCTGAAAGGAACAAAATGCAATTACCAGCGTCTCGCCGGGGGCGATTGTCAACTTTTGTTAAAGGTAACGGGGTTGCACTTTCAACTTAAACGGCGGTTAAAGTCAATTCGATAGCAGTTAACGAATTGTTGGGGGTGAATAGAAGGGGTTTGCGGTTAACGCGAGAGGTTGACAGGGGGACACATAATACATTGTTACCCCATCCACCCGGAATCACCCTTTCCACGTGCAGTAATTTTCTCTGCGCGGCACCGACATCGGAGTGAATCTATCTCATAATTAAAATTACCGTACTACACGTACACATCGAGAAGCCTTTGATACCCCAACGCGACGATTTATCGGCATTAAATTTATGTCTCATTTGTCTCTTAATTATCGTTGATAATAGTAGGGTTGACAATAGATAATAACAGTTGATAATAGATAATAGATAATAACAGGATGTATTAATTTTCCTACGTTGAAAGCGAAATCTCGATCTTTTCATTTGGTCCCTCACTTGCGTGTATATCTACAACTTTAAATCGTAGTAATTTAATCATTTGAAGCATTTAAAATTTCACACCGCCAATGTTATGATAAACTCTAACGTGACAAACTCCTGTAATGATAATAAATAATTTTGAGCAACGATAATAAATAATTTTGAGTAAAATTTAATTAATATTTAATGAAGGATTTATTGTCACCTTTTTCTCTCTTAAATAAAATCTTTCGTGCGATTGCGAATAGGTAATGATAATGATGACAGAATATAAATACTAATTAATTAAATACTAATCACAATTATGCCTCGCTTTCGCAAAATAATCTTCACTGACTTTTTCACGTGTCACGTCGAATTAACAACCACGTTTATCCAAGAGTTGATGCACAAGCGACGCGTGGCTTTCTAAAATTGTTCTTTGTTAAGTTCTCCCATTTCAGAGCCGTTTAAAAGTGGCGAGAAATGAGCTGGAGGGTGGTGCCAAATACCAGCTTCCTTCCCTCCGATCTTTGCCCGTCGATTTAAAACATTTGCCCTCCGCGGAACGAAAGTTCTTCGTGTCGTTGAAGCTGGGGTGCCGCGGAATCACCCTAATATTGGATTATATCAATATACGGGGCATACATATATCATACCGCCGAGAGTGGAACACACGAGTTACTAAATTTCCGATCTCTTTACAGGGATAAAGATATCGCAGCGATTCCTCGCGATCAGCAATGTTGAAAAGTCCCGTCCTCCCGACGTTCAGGGTAGAATTTTTATTCTTGAAAGCGATTGTTTCGTAACTTGCGTCTCTTAAATGATCGGTAATTACAATATAATTATACAATATATTATTATAATTACAATATAATATTTATAATATTAATTGTAATTATAAATTATATTGTAATTATAAATATTGTAATTATAATTTATAATTACGATTATTATTTATAATTACAATATATTATTATAATTACAATATAATTGTAATATAAATTGTATAATTGTAAAAATTATAATATAAATTATATAATTATAATAATTATGTAATATAAATTACATAATTATAAAAATTATAAAATTATAATATAAATTAAATAATCGGAAACAGATGTAATTTAAGTTCAATTAAATTAAAATAGGCTTAATGAAAGTTCAATAAAATTAAACTTTGTTAATCTCCGTTCAAATTCAGAATTTCACTATTTATTTCAATAAATAGTGAATTCACTTTCGTCAATTACTCGTCTTTTAAAAATTATTTCAATAAATATGTAAATTTTTATAAACATTAATTAATTAAGTACACAACGTGGAATCTAGGGAACAAATTATTGACAAGTAGGCAATGGTTTACACGTACTGGAATATGTTACTGAACTACTCAAACGTACGTATATACTACTGTACGATCGGCCGCTCACGTACGGACATTTCTACTGCAAAATTCTAGTAAACGGTCACATATTTATAGATATACACTTTGTATATATATATAGTGTATATAGTATGTAGATATATGTAGTATGTAGTATATATAATATATACTAGTGTATGTATAGTATATATAGTATATGCAGTATATATAGTATATACTAGTGTATATATAGTATATATAGTATATAATATATATAGTATATACTAGTGTGTATATATATATATATATACACTACAACGTTAAACCTTCCACGTGATCATAATGACCAGTAAAAAAAAAAAAGTTCAACTAGACGCAGCTTCTCCGTAACAATAACACGAAATAAGAAGCTCTGAAACAAATGATTCTGCTCGGGAAAAATACCTAAAATCTCAGGAAAGGAAAACTGTGTCTGAATGGCGAAGAAGATTACTCTACGATTACTATATTCAATTTGGAAACTTTTCGCCTCGATCGGCGACCGATCAATCAGCGGTGGAAAAGATTCTCCGAGGAAAAGAGATTGCCTTTGAAAGGCGGGTGGGCAAGTAGGCGACCTCGACAAGGTCGATGCATTTAGAAACCCTTTAATCGAGTTGTTCGGTAGTCAGGGTAATGACGTGTGCTCGAGGACACGGCTGACGGGTGTTTAGCACTTTATCTATCTTCTCCAAGTTATTAATGACACTCGCTGAGTCAGATGCCGCGGCGAAGTGAGGCATCTTCAGAGTTTAATATCCGAGGAATCGAGTCACTCGGCCGACTACTCGTTCCGCCGCTGGCCTCGAGTAGAACACTCGTGGTGACGACCGGGCCGGGGCATTTCGCCTCCAATATCCTTCACCCTGGCCGAAGAATCGAGTGTCGCCGCTGTTCGCCGCGAAGAGCACGCTTTCATTTCGCACGAGCACCGTCGGACGAGTGGTTCGAATATAAAA